CGAATGGCTTTGGCCCCAGTTACGTAGAGTTTCACAGACCAATGTCACCGCTAGGACATTTTGAGGATATAGGGGAGAACAAAGTTCTAGAAAGGACCATCTGTTGAAGTCTTCAAAAACAGGCGCAACCTTCACAGGGATGGTCAAAGCTTTAAGATGGGAATTCCCAGAGGTAGCCGTCTACTTTCTGGAAAAATGCCCCTCAAATGAGCACAAGTTTGAGAAAACAACTTGTCAGGTTTCTACGAGTCTCCACAAAGGAAGGGTCACCACAGTGTGAAAAGTCACTGAAAGTCCTGGGTGACTGGGACTGATGGCAGAGAGTGCGACTCCTGAGGTGAAGGTTGGGCCGTTATGAACCAAGGCATAAATGCCTAAAGGCACAAAGGTCGCTGAAGGCGCAGAATGCTCAGATCGGGATTGTGAAGGGGAAGGTGGAGGGAACTCGCTTAGGACCTCTCTGGTCAGATTTGTCAATCAAATGTGCTATTAGACCCAGGACATGGACACCACAGACACCGGGACAAGGACATGGACAACGTGGACACCGGGACAAGGACATGGACAACGTGGACACCGGGACATGGACAACGTGGACACCGGGACAAGGACAACGTGGACACCGGGACAAGGACAACGTGGACACCGGGACAAGGACAACGTGGACACCGGGACAAGGACAACGTGGACACCGGGACAAGGACAACGTGGACACCGGGACAAGGACAACGTGGACACCGGGACAAGGACAACGTGGACACCGGGACAAGGACAACGTGGACACCGGGACAAGGACAACGTGGACACCGGGACAAGGACAACGTGGACACCGGGACAAGGACAACGTGGACACCGGGACAAGGACAACGTGGACACCGGGACAAGGACAACGTGGACACCGGGACAAGGACAACGTGGACACCGGGACAAGGACAACGTGGACACCGGGACAAGGACAACGTGGACACCGGGACAAGGACAACGTGGACACCGGGACAAGGACAACGTGGACACCGGGACAAGGACAACGTGGACACCGGGACAAGGACAACGTGGACACCGGGACAAGGACAACGTGGACACCGGGACAAGGACAACGTGGACACCGGGACAAGGACACTGGACACCGGGACAAGGACACTGGACACCGGGACAAGGACATGGAAACCGCAGACACCGGACACCAGGACAAGGACACTGGACACCAGGACAAGGACATGGAAACCGTGGACACCAGGACAAGGACATGGAAGCCGCGGACACCCGGACAAGGACATGGAAGCCGCGGACACCCGGACAAGGACATGGAAGCCGTGGACACCAGGACAAGGACACCAGGACAAGGACACTGGACACCAGGACAAGGACACTGGACACGAGCACACGGGCATGAGGACACGGGCACTGTGGACACAAGGACATGGACACATGGACAAGGACACCATTGAAAACAGCCCGATACCCGCTTCAAATATACAGACCCCACAATAATCCACACAGACCCCAGAGAAGGACAAACACTGCTGTATGAGACTGACTCACATAAAAGTGCTCCAAGTGGAAGAGGTAGGTGAAGGGCTGGAGATGTCCACAGCTCGGAGGAAGAGGCAGGGGGTAGAAGCTGACTGAGAAGCTGCAGGGTAGAAGCAGCGGAAGGTCCTTGTGCCACGTCACCTCCCATACGTAGAAGAGGCATTGCTGACTCTGTATGTCCTGAATAAAAAAAAAAAAGATAGTGAGAACAGGCTGAAGACCTCACAGGGAAGAAGAGGTGACCAGAGAACAGGAGAGGAGGTGATGGCAGGCCAAGGAAATCCACCAATGGGTGAGGAGGTGGAAGCATTTTATGGGGTAATGGCTCTTCAGGGAAGTGAAGGTGATGGGAGGTCAGGGGAGGATTGGAGAACTCTCTGGGTTAGAGGAGATGATGGGAGGCTGGAAGAGTGGAATTATTGGGGGGAAGTTTAGCCAGATGAGTTTGAGGGAGAAGTGCTAATAGAAGGCTAAGGGAACCTTTCCAAGGGAGAGGATTGATGGAAGACTGATAGACCACTCCAGTGGAGAAATGGTGGAATGCTGGTAGACCAACCCAAGGGGAAAAGAGGTGATGGGAGGTTAGTAGACCACTCGAGGGCAGGAGAAGAGACGGGAGGTTAGCAGACTACTCCAGGGCACTGGAGGAACTGAGGGGATGGTCAACCACTCCAGGACAGGAGAAGAGACGAGAGGTTAGTAGTTGACTCCAGGGTAGGGGAAGGGATTGGGGGGGGGGATTGGTAAACCACCCCAGGGTAGGGAAAGGGATGGGGGGGGGGGGTTGGTAAACCACTCCAGGGCAGGGGAAGGGATGGGGGGGGGGGGGTTGGTAAACCACTCCAGGGCAGGGGAAGTGATGGGGGGGGGGTTGGTAAACCACTCCAGGGCAGGGGAAGGGATGGGGGGGTTTGGGTAAACCACTCCAGGGCAGGGGAAGGGATGGGGGGGGGTTGGTAAACCACTCCAGGGCAGGGGAAGAGATGGGGGGGTTGTTAAAACCACTCCAGGGCAGGGGAAGAGATGGGGGGGGGTTGTTGGACCACTCCAGGGCAGGGGAAGAGATGGGGGGGTTGTTGGACCACTCCAGGGCAGGGGAAGAGATGGGGGGGTTGTTGGACCACTCCAGGGCAGGGGAAGAGATGGGGGGGTTGTTGGACCACTCCAGGGCAGGGGAAGAGATGGGAGGTTGCTGGACCACTCCAGGGCAGGGGAAGAGATGGGAGGTTGCTGGACCACTCCAGGGCAGGGGGAAGAGATGGGAGGTTGCTGGACCACTCCAGGGCAGGGGAAGAGATGGGAGGTTGCTGGACCACTCCAGGGCAGGGGAAGAGATGGGAGGTTGCTGGACCACTCCAGGGCAGGGGAAGAGATGGGAGGTTGCTGGACCACTCCAGGGCAGGGGAAGAGATGGGAGGTTGCTGGACCACTCCAGGGCAGGGGAAGAGATGGGAGGTTGTTGGACCACTCCAGGGCAGGGGAAGAGATGGGAGGTTGTTGGACCACTCCAGGGCAGGGGAAGAGATGGGAGGTTGTTGGACCACTCCAGGGCAGGGGAAGAGATGGGAGGTTGTTGGACCACTCCAGGGCAGGGGAAGAGATGGGAGGTTGTTGGACCACTCCAGGGCAGGGGAAGAGATGGGAGGTTGTTGGACCACTCCAGGGCAGGGGAAGAGATGGGAGGTTGTTGGACCACTCCAGGGCAGGGGAAGAGATGGGAGGTTGTTGGACCACTCCAGGGCAGGGGAAGAGATGGGAGGTTGTTGGACCACTCCAGGGCAGGGGAAGGGATGGGGGGGTTGGGTAAACCACTCCAGGGCATGGGAAGGGATGGGGGGGTTGGTAAACCACTCCAGGGCAGGGGAAGGGATTGGAGGGTTGGTAAACCACTCCAGGGCAGGGGAAGGGATGGGGGGGTTGGTAAACCACTCCAGGGCAGGGGAAGGGATGGGGGGGGGGGGGGGTTGGTAAACCACTCCAGGGCAGGGGAAGAGATGGGAGGTTGTTGGACCACTCCCCCGGGTAGGGGAAGAGATGGGAGGTTGTTGGACCACTCCAGGGCAGGGGAAGGGATGGGAGGTTGTTGGACCACTCCAGGGCAGGGGAAGAGATGGGAGGTTGTTGGACCACTCCAGGGCAGGGGAAGAGATGGGAGGTTGTTGGACCACTCCAGGGCAGGGGAAGAGATGGGAGGTTGTTGGACCACTCCAGGGCAGGGGAAGGGATGGGGGGGTTGGTAAACCACTCCAGGGCAGGGGAAGGGATGGGGGGTTGGTAAACCACTCCAGGGCAGGGGAAGGGATGGGGGGTTGGTAAACCACTCCAGGGCAGGGGAAGGGATGGGAGGTTGTTGGACCACTCCCGGGTAGGGGAAGGGATGGGGGGTTGGTAAACCACTCCAGGGCAGGGGAAGGGATGGGGGGGGGGGGGGGGGGGGTTGGTAAACCACTCCAGGGCAGGGGAAGAGATGGGAGGTTGTTGGACCACTCCATGGATGAGGAAGTGGTGGGAGGTTGATAGACCACTCCAGGGGAGAGGAGGGGGGGGAAGGCTGGTAGACCAGACCATGGCAGGCAGGGAAGAGATAGGAGGTTAGTAGACCACTCCATAGATGAGGATGTGATGGGAGGATGGTAGACCACTCCAAGGAAGAGGAAGTGATTGAAGGAAATGAGACACAGAAGTCTAAAGAACACACAGAGGGGGACACAGGGACATTATTACCTGGCTGTCTTGGGAGTGGAGGGGAAGGAACTGCAGATCCCGGGAGGAGGTGAGGCAACTATTCGATAATTGGAAGTTGAAGTCACAGATGTTTTCCACACGAATCTGGATATATTTTCTGGAGGAATGGAGAGAGATCACAACACAGCAACACATAGGATCCAAAACATACCAGAGAGCAGGGTGAGAGGACTTACAAAGGGAAGGTCCAATAGTAGCACAGCTCACAAGGTGATTGAGGGATGAAGGACCTCTCTATGTGATAGAACAAACATGAAGGGGCAATGAGGGACGTCTGGGACAGGGGAGGTAGAGGCGGACCTCTCCTGGGAGGTCAGGCACACCCCCACCTCTGCAGTGCTCACCTTGTTCCAGAGGACAGTAAGGCATGTTGGGCTCTCAGCGGGAGGTGGAAGGTCAGGCTGATGATGGTGGAATAGATGGACCATGGACAGTCCACAGACACCTTTGGAAAACAAAAAAGTGTCAGTGCCATTGAGGACTCCCAGTAGAAGTGTCAGTGCCATTGAGGACTCCCAGTAGAAGTGTCAGTGCCCATTGAGGAGGACTTCCCATTGTAGAAGTGTCAGTGCCATTGAGGACTCCCAGTAGAAGTGTCAGTGCCATTGAGGACTCCCAGTAGAAGTGTCAGTGCCATTGAGGACTCCCAGTAGAAGTGTCAGTGCCATTGAGGACTCCCAGTAGAAGTGTCAGTGCCATTGAGGACTCCCCAGTAGTAAGTGTCAGTGCCATTGAGGACTCCCAGTAGTTATGTATAAGACGTCGTCACTCACCCGCTGCTCCGCAACGTTCCCCCGGGAGTCGGGCGTATCCTTTCCCCTGCGCGGAACTTCGCCATTCAATAAACGTCCTGTTTCCGGTAACAGACAAACCACGTCCAGTTCAAACTCCATGAGATGATAAGGGGGGGCTGGCGGGAGAGCGATGCTGGTCACTTTGTCCGATCGATGGATGGTCAGAGGACTTAATGACACATCACCTGGAAAGACAAGACACAGACTGGGAGATGAACAATGACCAGGAATATTACCCAATGCCATGGCAGACGGTGAGATATGGCCACCATGATTATTACCCAATGCCATGGCAGAGAGTGAGACACGGCCACCATGATTATTACCCAATGACATGGCAGACCATGAGATATGGCCACCATGAATATTTCCCATTGCCATGGCAGACCTTGAGACACGGCCACCATTATTATTATTACCCAATGCCATGGCAGATGGTGAGATATGGCCACCATGATTACCCAATGCCATGGCAGACCGTGAGATATGGCCACCATGATTATTACCCAATGACATGGCAGACCCGTGAGATATGACCACCATGATTATTTCCCCTTGCCATGGCAGACGGTGAGATATGGCCACCATGATTACCCAATGCCATGGCAGACCTTGAGACACGGCCACCATAATTACCCAAATGCCATGTCAGACCTTGAGACACGGCCACCATGATTACCCAATGCCATGGCAGACCTTGAGACACGGCCACCATGATTACCCAATGCCATGGCAGACCTTGAGACACGGCCACCATGATTATTACCCAATGCCATGGCAGACCGTGAGATATGGCCACCATGATTACCCAATGCCATGGCAGACCTTGAGACACGGCCACCATGATTATTACCCAATGCCATGGCAGACCTTGAGACACGGCCACCATGATTATTACCCAATGCCATGGCAGACGGTGAGATATGGCCACCATGACTTGGAGAACCAGATCTGCCATTAGCAACAACAGCTTTGCAACAGTTATCTCCCAGTAGGAAGGTCAGCAGTGGCCCTACTGACACTGGGAGCAAGGGACCACAACGGGACCGACATACTCACCATGACTGTTCTGGTAGACGGACGCCTTCGTGTCCGGTGCGGGGATAATGAGCATCGTATCGGCATTACTGAGCTGCAGGGTGTCCCCCTCCTTCACCCGATAATGTCCAGTTGTCACTGTAAACTTTAACTTCTGAGGAACCCCGGCCAGGAGGAAATCTACAGGAAGGAGAACAGTCAGTGACGTGATACGTATCTGTACGAGCACACGGGTCATGTATGTACTGTGTGTGGGGGAGGGGACTACAGACTAGTATGGGGGAACGGAAAACACAGACACACGTATCTGTACGAGCACACGGGTCATGTATGTACTGTGTGTGGGGGAGGGGGACTACAGACTAGTATGGGTGAACGGAAAAACACAGACACACGTATCTGTACGAGCACACGGGTCATGTATGTACTGTGTGTGGGGAAGGGACTATAGATCAGTACAGGTGAACTGATTGGGGGAATTGCTGGGTTTTCTAAACTACAATTGATTGGCCGTCCGGATATTGAATGATTGTATTGATTATATCAGTTATTGAACGCCATGTAATAGGTGGGCGTGGCCATCGGTTCAGGGATGTAGCAGAGGGATCTACATCTGTCCAATGATCCAGGAAGTAGTGGAAGGATCTACCTATGTCCAATGAACAGGGGGAGATCAAGGATGTAGCAGAGGGATCTACCTCTGTCCAATGAGCATGGAGAGGATCCAGGAAGTAGCAGAGGGATCTAAATCCAATAAGCAGAGAGGGGATCCAGGACATAGCAGAGGGATCTACCTCTATCCAATGAGCAGAGAGGGTATCCAGGAAGTAGCAGAGAGATCTACCTCTGTCCAATGAGCATGGAGGTGATCCAGGAGGTAGCAGAGGGATCTATCTAAATCCAATGAAAAGAGAGAGGACCCAGGATGTAGCAGAGGGACCTACCTCTGTACAATGAGCAGGGAGGGGATCCAGAAAGTAGCAGAGGGATCTACCTCTATCCAATGAGCAGAGAGGGGATCCAGGAAGTAGCAGAGAGATCTACCTCTGTCCAATGAGCATGGAGGTGATCCAGGAGGTAGCAGAGGGATCTATCTAAATCCAATGAAAAGTGAGAGGACCCAGGATGTAGCAGAGGGATCTACCTCTGTACAATGAGCAGGGAGGGGATCCAGAAAGTAGCAGAGGGATCTACCTCTGTCCAATAGCAGAGAGAGGATCCAGGAAGTAGCAGAGGGATCTACCTCTGTCCAATGAGCAGAGAGGGATCCAGGAAGTAGCAGAGGGACCTACCTCTGTCCAATGAACAGAGAGGGATCCAGGAAGTAGCAGAGGGATCTACCTCTGTCCAATGAGCAGAGAGGGGATCCAGCAAGTAGCAGAGGGATCTACCTCTGTCCAATGAGCATGGAGAGGATCCAGGAAGTAGCAGAGGGATCTATCTAAATCCAATGAGCAGAGAGGGGATCCAGGACAGGGAGAGGATCCAGGAAGGCAGAGGGATCTACCTCTATCCAATGAGCAGAGAGAGGGATCCAGGAAGTAGCAGAGGGATCTACCTCTGTCCAATGAGCATGGAGGGATCCAGGAAGTAGCAGAGGGATCTATCTAAATCCAATGAAATGGAGAGGGATCCACCCAGGATGTAGCAGAGGGATCCTACCTCTATCCAATGAGCAGAGAGGGGATCCAGGAAGTAGCAGAGAGATCTACCGCTGTCCAATGAGCAGGAGGGGATCCAGCAAGTAGCAGAGGGATCTACCTCTGTCCAATGAGCATGAGAGGGGATCCAGGAAGTAGCAGAGGGATCTACCTCTGTCCAATGAGCATGGAGGGGATCCAGGAAGTAGCAGAGGGATCTACCTCTGTCCAATGAGCATGGAGGGATCCAGGAAGTAGCAGAGGGATCTATCTAAATCCAATGAGCATGGAGGGGATCCAGGACGTAGCAGATCTATCTACCTCTGTCCAATGAGCATGGAGGGGATCCAGGACGTAGCAGAGGGATCTACCTCTGTCCAATGAGCAGAGAGGGGATGCAGGAAGTAGCAGAGGGATCTACCTCTGTCCAATGAGCAGATGGAGGGGATCCAGGAAGTAGCAGAGGGATCTACCTCTGTCCAATGAGCAGAGAGGGGATCCACAAAGTAGCAGAGGGATCCTACCTCTGTCCAATGAGCAGAGAGGGGATCCACAAAGTAGCAGAGGGATCTATCTAAATCCAATGAGCATGGAGGGGATCCAGGACGTGGCGGAGGGATCTATCTAAATCCAATGAGCATGGAGGGGATCCAGGACGTAGCAGAGGGATCTACCTCTGTCCAATGAGCAGAGAGGGGATCCAGGAAGTAGCAGAGGGATCTACCTCTGTCCAATGAGCAGAGAGGGGATCCACAAAGTAGCGGAGGGACCTACCTCTGTCCAATGAGCAGAGAGGGGATCCACAAAGTAGCGGAGGGACCTACCTCTGTCCAATGAGCAGAGAGGGGATCCAGGAAGTAGCAGAGGGATCTACTCTGTCCAATGAGCATGGAGGGGATCCAGGACGTAGCGGAGGGATCTATCTAAATCCAATGAGCATGGAGAGGGGATCCAGGACGTAGCAGAGGGATCTACCTCTGTCCAATGAGCAGAGAGGGGATCAGGAAGTAGCAGAGGGATCTACCTCTGTCCAATGAGCAGGAGGGGATCCAGGATGTAGCAGAGGGATCTACCTCTGTCCAATGAGCAGGAGGGGATCCACAAAGTAGCGGAGGGACCTACCTCTGTCCAATGAGCAGAGAGGGGATCCACAAAGTAGCGGAGGGGACCTACCTCTGTCCAATGAGCAGAGAGGGGATCCACAAAGTAGCAGAGGGATCTATCTAAATCCAATGAGCATGGATCCAGGACGTAGCAGCAGGGATCTACCTCTGTCCAATGAGCATGGAGGGGATCCAGGACGTGGCGGAGGGATCTATCTAAATCCAATGAGCATGGAGGGGATCCAGGACGTGGCGGAGGGATCTATCTAAATCCAATGAGCATGGAGGGGATCCAGGACGTAGCAGAGGGATCTACCTCTGTCCAATGAGCATGGAGGGGATCCAGGAAGTAGCAGAGGGATCTACCTCTGTCCAATGAGCATGGAGGGGATCCAGAAAGTAGCAGAGGGATCTACCGCTGTCCAATGAGCAGAGAGGGGATCAGCAAGTAGCAGAGGGATCTACCTCTGTCCAATGAGCATGGAGAGGATCCAGGAAGTAGCAGAGGGATCTAAATCCAATAAGCAGAGAGGGGATCCAGGACATAGCAGAGGGATCTACCTCTATCCAATGAGCAGAGAGGGGATCCAGGAAGTAGCAGAGAGATCTACCTCTGTCCAATGAGCATGGAGGTGATCCAGGAGGTAGCAGAGGGATCTATCTAAATCCAATGAAAAGAGAGAGGACCCCAGGAAGTAGCAGAGGGACCTACCTCTGTACAATGAGCAGGGAGGGGATCCAGAAAGTAGCAGAGGGATCTACCTCTATCCAATGAGCAGAGAGGGGATCCAGGAAGTAGCAGAGAGATCTACCTCTGTCCAATGAGCATGGAGGTGATCCAGGAGGTAGCAGAGGGATCTATCTAAATCCAATGAAAAGTGAGAGGACCCAGGATGTAGCAGAGGGATCTACCTCTGTACAATGAGCAGGGAGGGGATCCAGAAAGTAGCAGAGGGATCTACCGCTGTCCAATGAGCAGAGAGGGGATCAGCAAGTAGCAGAGGGACCTACCTCTGTCCAATGAGCAGAGAGGGGATCCAGGAAGTAGCAGAGAGATCTACCTCTGTCAAATGAGCATGGAGGTGATCCAGGAGGTAGCAGAGGATCTATCTAAATCCAATGAGCAGAGAGAGGACCCAGGATGTAGCAGAGGGATTTACCTCTGTCCAATGAGCAGGGAGAGGATCCAGGAAGTAGCAGAGGGATCTACCTCTGTCCAATGAGCAGGGAGAGGATCCCAGGAAGTAGCAGAGGGATCTACCTCTGTCCAATGAGCAGAGAGGGGATCCACAAAGTAGCGGAGGGGACCTACCTCTGTCCAATGAGCAGAGAGGGGATCCACAAAGTAGCAGAGAGATCTATCTAAATCCAATGAGCATGGAGGGGATCCAGGACGTGGCGGAGGGATCTATCTAAATCCAATGAGCATGGAGGGGATCCAGGACGTAGCAGAGGGATCTACCTCTGTCCAATGAGCATGGAGGGGATCCAGGACGTAGCAGAGGGATCTACCTCTGTCCAATGAGCATGGAGGGGATCCAGGACGTGGCGGAGGGATCTATCTAAATCCAATGAGCATGGAGGGGATCCAGGAAGTAGCAGAGGGATCTACCTCTGTCCAATGAGCAGAGAGGGGATCCACAAAGTAGCAGAGGGATCTATCTAAATCCAATGAGCATGGAGGGGATCCAGGACGTGGCGGAGGGATCTACCTCTGTCCAATGAGCATGGAGGGGATCCAGGACGTGGCGGAGGGATCAGTGTCAGGGCGATTCATTCTGTCACTCACCGCTCAGTGGCTCCACCTTCAGTTGGGGCTCCTGGGAGTACACGTCATACTGCACGATGGGGTAGACGTGCGGCAGGAGGAGCTGCACATCCCCGAACGATGCCGAGAGCTGGCGTAACGTGTAGGTCCCCGCCTCCTCGCCTGCACACATCAACATGGCCGATTAATCAGAGTCAGTCCCCTCCCCATTCATCTACAGCACAGACACCAACACATGTTACAGGACCAATCAGACACAAGGAAACAACCAACTACCAATAATATACATGTATATACCTCTGACATATACCGCAGTGCTGTACAGAGATCACTGAGCCGCTCCCATCAGTCTCTGTACAGAGGAGCTTACACTCTAATGTCCCCTCCCCCGCAGTCCCATCAGTCTCTGTACCAGAGGAGCTTACACTCTAATGTCCCCTCCCCCCGCAGTCCCATCAGTCTGTACCAGAGGAGCTTACACTCTAATGCCCCCTCCCCCACAGTCCCATCAGTCTCTGTACAGAGGAGCTTACACTCTAATGTCCCCTCCCCCACAGTCCCATCAGTCTCTGTACAGAGGAGCTTACCCTCTAATGTCCCCTCCCCCACAGTCCCATCAGTCTCTGTACCAGAGGAGCTTACACTCTAATGTCCCCTCCCCCCACAGTCACATCAGTCTGTACAGAGGAGCTTACACTCTAATGTCCCCTCCCCCACAGTCACATCA